AGGTGAAGTTTTTTGGACTTTGTAGGTAAAGCATTTTTATTGAAACTTTGTAGTAAAGCTTTTAGATTGAAGCTTTGTAGGTGAAGTTTTTTTGTTGAAGCTTTGTAGGTTGAAGTTTTGTAGGTGAAGCTTGTATGTTGAAGCTTTGTAGGTGAAGCTTTTTGATTGAAGCTTTGTAGGTGAAGCTTTTATGTTGAAGCTAATCGTTGGGCACTATAAATTGATTTTGCTTCACACTATTTTGATCAATAGTGTGTGAAGCTTTTACATGTTGTAGTTGCATCTTATGTGTTGAAGCTTTTGTTCGGCACCATAAATGTGAGAGAGACAACATATATAGATTTTGCTTCCACACTCTTGAGCAAGAGTGTGCAAGGCAAGCCACACATTGTAGTGGTTGAAGGTTTGGAGGAACCATACCAATTGATTTTGCTTCGCATAGTCTTGATCAAGAGTGTGCGAACCTTTTTACGAGTTGTAGTGTTTGCATTGTTACATAGGGGAAATGTCTGGAGCAGATGCAAAAGGGTTGAAGAGCTTGATCTTTGTATACCATGCACTAAAGCCTTTGTTGGCTTGTAATAAGACTTTGCTGGTGACTATAACCTTTGTTGGGCATAAGTGCTCCTCAGTTGGGTTTAATTAAGCTTGCTTATCTCCCTTTGAGCTATAAGGCTTGAGGATTTTTTATTATTTATGAATGCTAATAGTTCACATGTACAAGTTGTACCACTCCTCACCTAGTTGGTGGGAAAAATGGTGAGTTGTTGAGGCAAAAATGTTTATTAATAGTACTAGTTGTACTCTTCATCGCCTAGTTAGTGATACGAAGGTGAGTTCCTTCATCACCTAGTTGGTGATAAGAGTGGCAAGTTGTTAAATGATATTAGAGTACGGGTTGTACCTGTCATCACATGGTTGGTGATACCCAGGTGAGTTCATTCATCACCTGGTTGGTGAGAATAAGGGCAAGGTGCCGAGGCACATTGTGAATGACAAAAAGTATGTTGACACCCTTTCGAAGCTTAGTTGGCTTATGTATGAATGTGTTGAAATGTATGATGTTTATGTTGATTGACATGAGTGATGCTTATGAATATTTTGCTATGCATGAAGGAATCCATGTTTTCGATATGTGAACCATGTTGGTTGTAACACTTAGTTTCACTTACTTTCTATCAAAGTACGCATATTAAAGCTTTGAGTTAGAGTATAAAGGCATGTCAGCATAGACCGAGTGTTCAATGTTAAGAAAGTTAAGGACTCAAATGAAGTTGTCTGAATTCCCTCTTCGTTAAATATTTTTCGAATGGCTTGTGATACAAAAGATCTCAATCGATTGAGGGTCAAAACATTTGTAATGTGTATGCCTTCTTATAATAGCATTTTCCTCAGCACCTAGTCCTTCTACTTTGAAAGAGCAAGGCTTCACCCGATGGTCATAATAGTTGAAGGTAAGTTCACCCCTGGTTGTCTTGATACGAACCTTTATCCCTCTTGTTGTAATGAGCTTGCTGAGAGTAAAGATCCTTTCTTTTACCAAGAGACGAATATGTTTGGTGACTTAGCGAGTAGCTAAGTGAGGTAAGAGAGGATGAATGGGTGTCTGAATGGCCAAAACCTTCTTACTTGGTAGAACTTGACTTTCACTCCCTACTTGTTGATAAGGGTTAACCATATGAGGGTTCCCTGGGTATGTCTTTGCCTTTACAAAGGCATGATTTTAAGCTTGCATCATCACCTCAGAATAAGTCTTCCAAGTGTTAACATTAATCATGTACTTGAAGAAGCATTCACGCATGCCTAACATAAAGGCCCTGAGTACTCTTTTATCATCTACCTCAACGCAACGAGATTATTCGTGGATGAAGCGACTGGTATATTCACACAATGACTCGTCCGATTTCTGACGAATGGTGTATAACTCATCAACGGAGTGTAAGCAATCAGCTTGGAAGATGTGTTAAGCCACGAAGAGTCTTCTTAGCTTTGTGAAGGAATCCATAGTATTAGGTTGAAGATGACAATACCAATTGAGAGCTCCACCATAGAGAGTTGAGGGGAATATAAGACATCATTCCTTATCATTGTGTCTTTGGTATGCCATGGTAGATTCGAAGATGTGGATATGCTCAATTAGGTCTTCCCTCCCAGTATATGATTGTAAGCCAAGTTTCTGTTTAGTTTTTCCTGGTAAAGGGGTGCAAAGGATCCTCCTTGTTAATGGTCATGGCCTTGGCTGATTCCAATCAAGTATTTTGGCCTGACGTTCGGCCTTTAACCTGTTCACTTCTTCGATGAGCTGCAAGATAAGGGGGTCCTGAGTGGAGTTAGGCACCATTAGAACTTTTCTTCATAAGTTTTCCTCATTCTTTAGAAGTATGGAAGTTTGGTCAAAGGCATATAGCCTTTTCCTGGATTCACCGTGCTCGTTTCTAGGACGTGTCTGCTGGAAGTCCCCCGAGTCTCCTACACCTTCTTGTCCCTCTAAGGCTTGTCATTCATTTCCTAGATTGGGGGCTAGCCTACGTTGTGGTAAGGGACTGAGCCCCTTGATGACCTTTGGGTCTTTGATCCTTGAGCTTATGTGGATGGGGTTTTCTCGACGTTGCTTCAAGAAGTCTCGACAGTCACAATAAACAGCCTCTGATCATTCCACTACTTTTGCAAAGAGGCACTTCCTTCCACTTCTCCTGCTTTAGGTCGAAGCGGCTGGGTTAAGAGAAGTCTCGCGTTGACTAACACATTGATGGGTAGTTCGCTGCTTATTAGGAGCATCCATGTTGAAGACCGGTAACCCTCCATGTTGGGGGGTACCCAGGTAATGGTTAACATCCACATAGGCGATGGGCTCGTGAGATTGAGTTTACCTATCCTCGTGGAGCATCTAGAAGAGTTTCTCATACTGTTCTTGGAGGATCCAATTATTCATTGTTATCTTGTTGTTCTAAGCCTCAAACTCTTCGACCTTAGCCTAAAAAGCAAACTTATTTCTTTCTTTCCTTCGTTGCCTCACACTAGGCATAAAGGGGGTGTCGTTCTGCGTGTTGTAGCTTATTTCGCTTCCCTTGTTAGAAAGGGATGCCTGCTCAAAAAAGAGTGTATGAACGATGGAAACCAACTTGACAAAGCTGGAAATAGTAGGAATAAGTGTCGTTCCCACAAACGGCGCCAAATGTTGATGCACAAAATCAGTGAAAACTTTGGAACAACGTAAAATGTCAAGTTTGTGTCATTCTCTCGATTGCTCCAGTCACCTAGTGAGGATAATATGTAAAGAGATAGAGACAGGGAAGCAAACACAAGATGTACTTGGTTCATCCTAAGTTTTGCCACATCCACAGAGTAGAGGAGTTCTCATTAATAGTGAAGGGTTTACACAAATACATAGGTTCAAGCATAATCATCATTAATGGGTTCTAATGACTAGTTTAAGTACAACAATGACATTATGGATTAATTGTAGAAGAATGGTCTCTTTTTATAGTTGAGAAAAGTCTTTAGCTTTTGTCTGCAGTCAATGTAGGACTCTATGAGCTTTATTCTAACGTTGACATGTGTCGCACTGTGATTGGTCTCCTGGTTGGAGGGAAACTCTTGTGCTTCGGCAGAGGTGCCTCAACATGAACCCTTCAGTGGGTCCTTAAAGGTATGACGTTGACTGGTGCTCAGTAGTTTTGGGATTGGTCAAATATGGTACAAACAGTCACTATTAGTATTTTTCAATAGAGTTCGAACACACGAATGCGTACGTGAAAACTGTGCGCGACTTGGAGTTATTGAAATGCTATTTGCTGTTGATTGTGGAATTGTGAGTTGTTTGGAACTCTATGTTTTCATGCTAGATAATGCCATGAGAATGTTTTGAAGTAATTGCAAATAAATTTTTTTTTTTTAGAGATTAACAAAATGATGAACTACAATTGTCTTGATCCCTTCACAGAGTACATGCGTAGTTTCAAACCCTAAGGTTTGGTTCATCCACAAAGTAAAATGAAAATTTCTTACATTGTTGAACTATTAGTTTTTTTTTTTTTTTTGTCATGTCTCGGGATTGATGTGTGACAATTTTAATAGTATTTGAACTTAGGTATTAAGTTATCGTACCCTTTCATTAGAGTGAGGACTATGAGTGCAATAAAAAAGGAGAAAAGCAAAAACAAAAAGTTTAAATTGGCTTCCAATATTTCTCGATAGAGCTACAAACCTGTGCCTAAATCTATAATAGCAACAGCAGTAACTGAGAACCTTTTCGTATTCTTCTATTCTCGCAAAGCAGTGCCTAGATTATAACTGGTTCAGTGCCTCGGGTTCAAGTTATGTTGCGAATTCAAAGTTCCAAAATTTCATTTTAATGGGCATGAATATTGTCTCATTGTGCTTGGGAAGAAAGGTTTGAGTGAATTTGAAGAAAGACCTTTGTATGGTTTGAAGATTAAAGTGTACGCGTCTTCCTTTATACAATCTTTTCACTTTCAAATTTTAACAAATCCAAGGTATCCACAATGTATGAATCGGAAAAGAAAGTGCTTTGTGTTGTTGCTTGTTGTTTAAGGTGTCTTAACGAAGGAGTTTTAACGAAACACTTCCGATATTGTTCATTTTAACGAAAAAACACATTTTTACCTTTTTCTGATATTATTCATTACACCTTTATTTGTCCTTTTTCATTAAAACTAAAGTTTTCTTTTTTACTTTTCATTAGTTTTCCCAATTATAATGAATCGGAAAAGAAAGAGATTGCACACCGAATTTATTAAATTTAGTACGGTACAGAGATGAAAAGACATATCTCGTCCAATGTGTCATTGCATGGAGAGATTTTTCAATTTATTCGAAATATGAGATGGTACGTCATATGTTATTATATAATTAGAGGAAAGTTTTTTTTTTAAATGTACAATAACATGTGGTATATCACTCTGTATTCCGATCATACTAAAAAATCTCCCCATTAGATGCTCGTACATGCTTGTCTAATGACATTATATATAGGTAAGCTCTCTTGAAGCAAAAGATAATTGTATGGCCTTAACAGTTTGTCAATCAATTTCAATTTTATTGCCATGGCTTGTTCTCTCTTTCAACAAAATGGTTAAATAGTTATTTTGATTTATATTAACGGTTTTAGGCTAAACAATATGTGCTTCCATTAACACTATTTTTTTTTTTTTTCAGGGTTTTCAACATCATATTCAGATTCCCCCCCAACTCATTACACTCTAAAAATCGCGTCCTTTTCATTGCTAACCAAACTTTCAGCGGACAAATATGAGTCGGGAGAATTTGAAGCTGCAGGATACAAATGGTAAATCCCACATTATATCATCTGCTAAAGTTTGAGTTTAATATCATCTTCTGCAAACTTATGTTTCACTCTCACTACCCGACATTAGTTCTTATGACATTTTCCTTTTTTTGTCATGCAATAATGTGTTTCGTATATCATGTGCTGTGTAAGCTGCCAAAAAAAAAAAAAAAATGTTAGCCATACTGTATGTTTGCCCTCAGGAAACTAGTGCTCTACCCGAATGGGAACAAGAAGAAAAATGTGGAAGGCCACATCTCTGTTTACTTGGAAATGGTTGGAGCTGATTCACTTCAGACAGGATGCGAAGTATATATATGTTGATTTTAGGTTCTTTTTGCTTGATCAGAATAAAGGCATGTTCCTGGTTCTTCAAGGTACATTTTACCCACTCCTAAAGTCAATTCTCATCAAGTGAACATATTCATAGACCGGAAATTTTCTTGTTTGCAAATTTCAGTGCTCATTGCTCATTTTCTGATCATTATTTTGTACCTTGCATATTCCATAGATGCCAATAAAAAGGAAAAGTGTTTCCATGGGATGATGCGTTATTCAGGATTTGATAAGCTTGTCACTCTTAAATCGTTTACTGATGCTTCCAACGGATATGTCGTTGATGATTCCTGTGTGATTGGAGCTGAGGTCTTTCTTTGTAAAGAAAGAAGAGCTGGCAAAGGAGAGTCAATATCGATGATCAAGGATGCTGTTATGTGCAAGCATGTTTGGAAGGTTGAGAACTTTTCAGAGTTAGGCAATGAATGTTGCAAATCAGAACCCTTCACTGCCGGAGAACGGAAATGGTATCTCTGCTAGGCCCCTTATATTAATACCCTTAATAAGAGAATTTTAAATTTTTAGTCCACTGTATAATCTTGTTTTACCTGCATGAGAACAAAAGGATATTATTTTTTATTTCAAACTATATATGCAATTTTAACTAAACTTTCGCACTAGATGTGATCGATCACTGTAAAACTTGCTGAAATTTTGCTTCCCATGTACGAGTTTGCTCTTGTAATTCAATCCCAAAGATGTGAGGTGAATCGGGTCCCATCCCAAATAACGAAAAATATATAATAAAAAGTCACCATATTCTTCCCGATGTTGCAGGAAGATAAAGCTCTATCCCGAGGGAAATAACGCTGGAAAGGGTACTCATATTTCTCTTTACTTGGGATTGGATGATCCAGAATCTTTTCCTTGTATTTCTCTTTTATTCTCAGAATTGGGCGATCCAAAAAATCTTGCTGGCCCCAAAGTATTTGCAGAGTTTTCACTGATCATTGTAGATCAAATGCATGCCAAACATAAGTGCTTTAAAGGTAAAGATTGTCCTATTTCAGTGTTTTATTGCATGCATCCTTCATAACATCGGCGTGTATTATGTGTAGGTAACAACTGGTTCTGTACCTCAAATCTGACTTGGGGCTGGCCTAAGTTCATTTCGCTGGACACTTTGAATGAGGCAGGCAATGGGTTTTTGGTGAAGGATGCTTGCATAGTTGAGGCAGAGGTCACTGTCCATGGAACTGCAACTGTACTGTAGTTCGCATGTCGTATGTTTTGGCTGTTGCTAAAAAGATGTTACAAATGAAAGGACTAAAAACTTTGTCTAGATGTGGGTATACCATAGTGCTAAAATCCTCGTTCACCAAATGACTTTTGATTGAAGGGTATTTTGATGTTTTTAATTAATTTCGTCTAAAGTTTGTGATTTTTCCTAGTTGGAAGCCGCTTTTCTTCTTTTTAAATATGTTATGCGTTTAGCATATTGAGCCACTGGCATGCACATTTTTTAACATTTCACCTCATCATGTGAGGTCAGTTAAGGCTAATAAGTAGGCAACCTTTTTAGATGATCACTCTGTGTTTGGAGCGGACGTCTTTGTTTGTAAAGAAAAAAGAACAGGAAATGGAGAGTGTCTATCAATTCTCAAGAATACATGCATGAGTTTAAAGAAGGTAAAAGATCGGCCTGGTGGTTGAGTGTTTAACTGTATATAATGTCATATAACATGTCACATCTCGGCCCAGGACGGATCATTTCCCGGGCCCGTTCCACCACCATAGCACGATATTGTCCGCTTTGGGCTTACCATTCCCTCACGGTTTTGTTTTTGGAAACTCACGAGCAACTTCCTAGTGGGTCACCCATCATGGGATTGCTCTAACCCCTTTCTCGCTTAACTTCGGAGTTCCTACGGAACCCAAAGCCAGTGAGCTCCCAAAAAGCCTCGTGCTAGGTAGGGATGGGAATATACATATAAGGATCACTCCCCTGGACGATGTGGGATGTCACATAACATGAGGGTTTATTTCTTCTGTGTAGATGACCACTGGTGTAGTGCCTCTCAATCGCATGCAAGGGGTTTGTGGTGAAGGATAGTTGCGTAGTGGAGGCAGAGGTCACTGTCCATGGAATTGCGGAAGCACTATAGTCAGCTTGTATTAGATTTCGGATATTGTTAAAATGCTGTTAATCAACTTATGAATACGAATGAAGTTCTGCGTCCATGATATGGTTTGTACTAAATTAAAGTGGCGTTCTATAGAACCCTAGAGCTGCAGCCCCTTCCCACTTGTACTAAAAGTGGCGTTCAAAATCTGTCATGTGAGAAATATGTCGAGTCTTGACCAGTAAATTTCAAGTAGCATCTCGTGTTTAGCTAAAAACTTTGTTTGGCTAGACTAATCTTAACTTGTTCGACAATGCTAAACCTTAAACATTGTTCCTTAACAGGTATTGGATACCTTTTCAATGAAACAAGGGTAACCCTTTAGAAGCAAAGCATAAAAGTTCAGTCTTCAAAAAGGTTTCAAGTTAGGAATAACACCTTTAATATTTCCTTAATAAAAGCGGCAAAACATATTTTGTTCTGCAACTGAAAACCGGTTGATTTCTTTGTAATCGAATCATCGGTAAAAATTAAGTTCATCGACATGACTAGTCTTAACTTCGATGACCAAGATGGTAAGATGCTCTATCTGTTTGCTTGAGTGTGTTGGAGTTGAAAGCATTAACTAATGTACAAATTTTATTTCAGGGATTTTGAGAACAATTTCTGATGCACCACCAACTCATTACACGGTAAAAATCCAGTCGGTTTCATTGCTCACCAAAAACTCAGTGGAGAAATATGAATCCGGGGACTTTGAAGCCGGAGGATACAAATGGTACAATCCTTTCTCTTAATTTCTAAGAACAAATCCTAACTGTTTCTTTTTTCGTAAGCTTTGCAATAATTGCTAGTATTTTCTTCTAATTTTCGAGCTACTTAATTTAGAGTACTATAATTTGTTGTTTTGCTGCAGGAAACTGGTTTTCTATCCAAATGGAAACAAGAATAGGAATGTAAAAGAACACATCTCTCTCTACTTGGTAATGTCAGGACCAAATGCTCTCCAGGTTTCTTCGGAAGTGTATGCTGTTTTCAGGTTGTTTTTGCTCGATCAGAACAACGGGAACTACTTTGTTTTTCAAGGTACTACTTCTTTCATTCAATTCAAAATATAAACAAGCTTATCGTTCTCATAATTGCGAAGCATCGCCTCATTTTCTTATATGTGTTCCCTGTGCATTGCTTAGAACAAAAGGAAAGGTGCTTTCATGGGATGAAACCTGAATGGGGGTTCGATCAATTTCTCTCGCACAAAGTTTTCAATGAAGCTTCCAATGGATTCCTCATTGATGACACATGTGTGTTCGGAGCGGAGGTCTTTGTTTCTAAAGAGAGCAGGACAGACAAAGGAGAGTGTCTATCGATGGTAAAGGATCCTGTTATGTACAAGAATATTTGGAGGATTGACAACTTCTCAAAGCTAGGCGGTGAATCCTACGACTCAAAAGTATTCACTGCCGGAGACCATAAATGGTATGTAACCCTAAGCTAGTTAGACTTCGCTTCCTGTATAAGAAATTTTCTCGAAGACATCGGAAACTTAAGCAGAGTCAAGTAAAAGTTTTGTAAATATATTGGTTGCTTTGCAGGAAGATACAGCTCTATCCCAAGGGAAAAGGCAATGGAATTGGTACCCATCTGGCTCTTTATCTGGCGTTAGCTGAACCGAAATCTCTTCCTCCTGGCTGTAAAATATATGCAGAGTTTACCCTACGCCTCCTAGACCAGGTGAATGCCAGGCATCAGTTTGGTAAAGGTAAAGATTCGGTATTCCTGTTGCTACATAATCATATGAGGAAATAAGGATTTGAACATGTTACAAACTTTAAAATTAAAGGAAGGTTTAACAAAACACTTTCAGTACTGTTCATTTTTAACGAAAAATCATATTTATACTTTTTCCTGGTACTATATACTATACCTTTAAAAAGAATTTTTCATTAAAAGGAAAGATTTTTTTTAACTTTTCGTTAGTTTTCCTTATTAAATGGTGGTTTTATTGCCGCCCCCTAATGAAATTCACCCCATGGACAACCACGGGTGCTCGAGTTCTTCGTGGCATTTGAATCTCGATGGCAACGACGATGGTGATGCTTATTGTTGAACTCTCGTTCAGTGGAAAGTTGATATCGAGAATTTTTTATTGCAACCCACTGAAAATGTTCACAACTTTTTGGTTGGTTGTTGCAAAATGTTGCGGGATGTTGAGACTCTTGTTTCTAGTAGGAGGCAACTGAATATTTTGAGTAACATTAAAAGGACGATAAATCGTACACAAACGACAATTTAATCTGTTTACTGCCACCTAGTTCTATTTTTTATTAAAAGTTTGCAACCTATGTGTGTGTTTTAATCCAAAATACTTGTAAACTGATAATATTTTTGGTGCTTGTAGTAAATAACTGGTTTAGTGCCTCAAATTCGGAGTGGGGATGGTGGAGATTCATTACACTGGGATTATTGAATCAGGCAAGCATGGGGCTTGTGTCGAAGGATACTTGCATTGTTGAGGCAGAGGTCACTGTCCATGGAATTACTAGTGCACTGTAGCCGAATTGTAAAACAGTAATAAATGTCTGCTGTGCGAAACTATGGGGGCGTAAAATACTAAAAAATGTCAAATAAGGTGTTAAAACCATATTCACTAGACTTGTTAGTCGTGTGTATGAAAGTATTGCTTCCGACCTTCATGATGAATAAATACATCATTCTCTATTCTTCATATGCTCTTCTTGTTTTCAATTTCTTTTTAGGAAAACTAATGAAAATAGCTTGAAAACTTTTAGTTTTAACGATAAGGACAAAATAAAGGGTAAAGTGAATAGTACCAGGTTTGACTTTTTAATGTAAAAATATGATTTTTCGTTAAAGTAAACAGTACCGCAGGCTTTTCATTAAAACTCCCATTCTTTTTTTCTTTCAAAAATTTTATTGTGCAGTGGAGCATAGAAATACAATACACAAGACTTTTTCACTGCTAGATCTTGGTTTAGAGCATTTTCGCTCATTGTCAAAGGGCAAGGGCTTGGAAAATGCCCTTCAACCAGGAAACCCACCTACAGTAGGCCGAGGGCAACTGGTGAGACATGCAAAGCTTGCCCAAATGCCCACTTGGGCCAACGGGTAAGGTTGACGTCGATATTACATCAGCAACGTTTCTGATTTTTTTTTTTTTTTGTGTTTGGCGCGTATAATACACTCACGATTGGAGGAGAGTGGCCAACAGCTTATGCAACAGTGGGCCCCGCTGCATAAGCTTCAATAGAGGATCCCAACAACTCTATAACTGGCACTATGAGAGTTGTTGAATTCTAACGACCTGATGACCTATGCTGTCAGATTTTAAAAGTAATGTTGAAGAGATTAAAATTGTAAACTAAATGATATGTTATCAATAGAAATAAGCACGTCTATCAACGCATAATAATAAACCAATCATCAACCCCCATGTCCTTTAGTTTTCAAAATTTAGTCTCCCTAACATTACTTTTTTAACGGTGAGACGGTTAAAGCATACTTTTGAGGCACTGCAAGTGCAACCTCAATGATACAACTCTGGTAGTTTACGGAGGTAAAGTTTGGAAATATATTGGGACGGGAAAGAAAAATGGGACAATACTGAATTGGTAAATGTTGCATTATTAAAAGTACGAACTTCACAGAATTCACAATGAATCAAATATACAACGAACATGATCATACAGAGTGAAGCACGCCTCACGGGCCCGTTCGGATTGACAACAAGTTAACAATGAATACTTACAAGTCACTGAGATGGACAAGGCGATTAGATGATTAGGGGAGGAGATGGCAAGGCTAACCAAAGGTTTTCTCGCTGCTGTAACACATATACAGGAAACCGTCATCCTCCTTGTAAGTTTCATAGATGGAATCCACGCGACTGGCTGTAAATGAAATACACAAAAGAGAGCGTTAGAAGGTTCGAAAATGATGCAGGCGCTAAACTGGCCGAATGGATAACAGTCTCTTTTTACCTGTTTGAGGTAAAGTGTTATTCACAAAAACAAAAAGAGCTTTCCCCGGAGTCAAGTGAAGCCTGCTGCTTAAGATATGGATAAACTGCCCGACAGACATATCTCTAGGAACCAGGAATCTAGATGAAACAAGGAAACACGGGTTAGAGGTTATTCTCCTTAAAGTGAGAATGCATAAACAATTGGCTAAAATTGTCCACGAAGTAAACCAATTTCTACAAACTTTTTATCTACATTCGGATAATACTAAACTGCAGATAAGGGAAATTCATCCAACCACGCATCTTTTACTTAAGGACAGAAAAGGAAGCAAAAAAGTCAAAAGATCCTCAGAACACAGAGCAAGTAACAGAAGCCAAGCTCTTTGTATTTCAACAACGAAGAGTTATATAGTCAGGATTCCTACAAGTATGCCAAAGAAACCAGGAGGAAGGACCTCGAGACGGAAACTTTACTAACTGATAAGGACAGAAACTTCACTGACTGATAAGAATATCAAAATTCATGGATGCTAGAAAGTGTTATGTACAAGTTTTGATCTGAAACTATGAAGCCATATGGGATATAGCATTTAAGTTTGTTCCTAACAGAAGAGAACTGTGGCAACTAAAACATACTTTTTCTTTTCCATTTCCGGCAGGTCTGTCCTGGAATATCTTTCAAGAATCACCTGCAGAAAACATAAAAAGAACACCCTCATCAGTTTTGACATCGTATCAACGCTCACAACAAAGCTTCCAATAAAGTCTAACCATGTTGCTTCTACTCAAATTAAGCCGCTCTATGATGGTACACGCGCGGTATTCACATAAAAATCTTCCTAAAATAATCACTTCCTCCCGTGTTTGTCAGATCTATACACGACATGCAACGAAAAAAACATCGATCAATAATACACAGCTCTTAGGGGTGACAATGGGAATCATCAAACCTGCAGAACACATCAACAACTGTAGCAAAGAAAATGACAGACATTCTTCACATACGTAATCCACAGGAATTAAAATTTGTCCTTTTTTTAACAGACAAACCAACATTTTGCCATTTCTAAGCATCCATCCATCAAAATCTTTCAGCCACCAAAATGTTATCATCTCTCAATCGGGTCAAAGTCAAATTGTAATAAAATAATAAATTAATAATTTAACAAAGTAAAAACGCGTAAACAAATTCAGAAATTCTGGTTAACCAATAGCACCAACAAGAACAAATTTTAATTTTTCAAATTACAAGTGCATTATTTCCCACAATCTTGGCATTTCTAATTCACATTTTTTCAACAAAAACAAAAATCACAGAAAAATAAAACTAAAAATTGCAGAAAATTGAAAACTCACGGGAACTCGATCTGGGTATTTCGAAATTATATGTTTCGATTCTTCAACTCGTTCATCTAAACCAAAAACAAAAATACCCAATAATTAGCACCACAAAAAAAAAAAAGTCACAATTTTGCACCTTTTCCTTAAATGATTGAATAGAAAAAAGAGGAGGGAAAATCAAACCGAATGAGAACTCCTGCTTGAAGGACTGGATCTTTCCCATAAAGCTTGAACCTTTTTTCCTTGCGATTGAGAGAGAGAGAGAGAGAGAGAGTGGAGAGAGAATTTGAGAGAAGTCTGAAACGAATCAATCAAAGCAAAACTTTGGGACTCTTTTTCTTCCAATTTTATAGAAAAAGTTTAGAGAGAGAGAAGAGAGAGAAAGACGTGTCGAAGAGGAGAAAGCTCCGAGTGTTACGTACACCGCTCACAAACGCACCTCACAAGTCGTTTTCCGTTGCTTTAAGCTTCGGCGTTCCTCTTCTCAACAACCGATACGTTGCTCGGTCGTTTTTGGGCCGAGATTTTAGGCATTTTATGCAGTCTGCCGGTTTTAGTGGGCCGGATTCATCCCGATCCCGAAGGATATGGTATCTTTCAACAGGATATTTCCCCTACCTTTAACAAAAACAAGAAATTATATTCTTTATTCTTTTGGTTCGGTTAGTAGAAGATAGGACAAGGGTCCTGCATAAGTTTAAGGGTGGTTCTATTTATACACTTATTTTTACTTTTTACATATATTTTTCAGTTTTCAGTCGTCGAATCAAATAAATTGAAGAAAATCAATACACAAAATTAACAATGACGTGTGGGAGGTAAAAATGTGTATGAATAGCACTATCCAAATTAAAACCATGGCCTTCTCTCAATGTATTTGTTGTCACATTCTTTGATCAAGCAATATGGCTCGTGAAATTTAAACTCATAATCTCCTTTAACAAAATTAGAAGATATGAACTAGGTCAACATTTGGATAGATTCATGAGCAAGGCAAGAGATTGAGAAAGTCATCCATGAAATCGAGCAAATGGAGCAAGCCCATAGGTCCATATCAGGGGCCCTGCATAAAAATAAAAATAAAAATAAAAATGTATGTTGTAAAATAGGCCTAATTCGGCTTTAAAACTCGAAATATTGATGTCATAGTAATGGAAATTCATTTAACTTAATATGATGTAACAAGAATAATAAGCGAATAAATAATTGAGATTAAAAATAAAATATTTAATTATTTTGAAAATTAAATATCCATAATGTTGCTTAGGTTCATTTTCGTTTTTCTCTTGCGCCCTCAATTGGGCCTTTGAGTTGTAATATTTGCACATTTCATTTTGAACTGTTAGTTCAATCTTAATAGTTGGTGTTAAAATTTTAAGGGTGATTTTATATAAAATCAATCAAATGTTAGACCATCTCCGATTTTTGGATTAAAACTTAAGAGCATGTTTGGTATTCGATTTGTATTCAACATTTTTAACTCAAAAACAAGTTTTGAGTCACAATTTAAAATCTTTGTTTGGTATTTGATTTGAAAACAATTTTCAAAATTCCAACCCAAAAATATTTGAAAACAAAGCCTATTGGTTGAAAACACAAAAGGTGTGTTTTTAGATTTTTTTTCTTTTTCTTTTTTGGAGATTCAGCCACTCCCATCTCTCTAACCTTCTCACAGAGGTCTGCACTGGTGTGCACTGCAATCTGCTTGATTTCTTAACAAAGCTCCACCCCGACTCCTCAAATTTTCAACTGTTGCGGATCTCCAAAGACCAAGTCTACCGTGTCTTGCCACCAGAGAACGCAACCCGCTACAAGAACTACACTTGCTAGAACCCTTCTTCTACTGAGTCTTCGACCTCATTCCACCCTCATCCTTCTCCCCGCCAACATCTTCTACCTCGTGGTCTGCCCTGAGTCCCCCAACTACTCAATCGACAGCATCGTGTTCAAAGGATTCAACTTGACAGCGTAGTCTCCTTCTCCGTCATCTCGCTGGAGATCCAGATCATTATTTGAGCTGAAAACACCAACAAGAAGATCGAAATTTACTACAAGAATAGAGCCCTCATCAAACCCTTCAACTTAACTTTTTTGTATTTTGGATTAGTTTTAGAAAAGTTGCATACCAAACAAGGTTTTGGATTTAAACTTTTTAAATCAAAACATGTGTTTTTAGAAAAAATCAAAATTTTGAGTTTTGTTCTCAAGTTAGATACCAAACAAACCCTAAAATTTTAACAATCTTTCTCCTCCAACCATTTTGGGTTAAATTTTTAGTCCAAAATTATTAAAAAATGAATTTAGGATAATTTTTTTCTTAAAGTAACTTTAAAAAAAAAATTATGTAGACTATCCTAATTTAATTTGATGAACATTTTAACCTAAAAATATTTAGATTCCGATAAATATTGAAAAATCATTAAACCGGCACCATGAAACTCGTGGAACACTACAAAAGAATATGAAAGACATAAAATAAATTTTTTTAATTACTTTAGCCGTTGGATTTAAATTTGAACCGTTCGATATTTTTTTTACCGTTGGATTTGATCAAATTAGATCTTAGCCGTTGAATTCTATAAATTTATAAATATAAAACTAAAAAAATACACATATATGGTGGGTTAGCCTTACTAAGTCAAGGGAATCCTGGGCTAAATTTGCCCCATAAATGAGTTTTAGATTTTAACTCATATTTGCCCTAAGGGTTGGAGCAAGTTGGGGTAAGTTTAAAACCTAAAATTTGAGTTTTACTCTAAGGGTTGGAGTAGGTCTTATGATATTGATAATATGTCAATCAAATTTATTTCGACTATAAATATGTCAATGAGACTTTAAGCTACATTAAAAAACCTCAATCAAATAAAAGTTACAATTCATGCCATTGTCATTTAAAACACTAAACCTCTCCGTCTCCCTCATTGTAAACCGCGCAAAACGCTCTCAGACTTCAACCTCCATAGCCTCGCAGCCATAAAACGGTTTCAGACTTCAACCTCCATTGCCTCCCGCCAACTTCGACCTCTATTTTTCAGCCTCACAACACTTGTCTTGTTAACTTTATGCCGCTCGGAACGATTTCATACTTTTGTCCTGATTCTAACGAACAATTCGCGCTAGCGCCTGAGAAATTACGATCAAGTTTTTTTTTTCTATTATCTTCTTGTTCTTCAATTTTTACGTTTTAGGTTATTTGAGTTGTGTTTTTGAGAGATTTGGTGTAATTTGCACACTAAACCTTTTGGTTTTGAATTTGAGCTTGTTTGGATGTTAAATTGTTTGGGCATATAATAGGTTTAGTCTATTTGGGTATATTTATTGGCTATGTGTATGTTTATTCATGGTGGTTATGTCGTTTAGTCTAATCGTCACTACTCATGGTCTTTTTCTTAGGTTATGTGCTCCATTTTAAATTCTAAGGTTTGTGGATCTATACATTGCAACACAATGTCTGTTTTCTGTTCTACGAGTGTACATTGATACTAAAAAAGTTTTGTGACTTCAGACACTGTGTTGCAGTGTATGTTTCTTGTTCTGTAATTGTACATTCATATTCAAAAGTTTGTGATTCAGACACTGTGTTGCAATGTCAGTTTCTTGTTCTGTGGATTCAAACACTTCGTTGCGGTGTCTGTCTCATGTTCTATGATTATGCATTGATATTCAAATAGTTTTCATGGATTCAGACATTACATTGCAGTGTTTGTTGTTTTGTGATTGTACTTTGATATTTAAAAGTTTATGTGATTCCGATATGTAGATTCAGACACTACAACGCAGAGTCTATTTCATATTCTATGATTGTGCACTAATATTCAAATAGTTTATATGGAGACACTGTGTTCCAATGTTTTGTTTCATGTTATGTGATTATACTTTTGATATTCAAAAGTTTATGTGATTCCAACACTGCATTGCATTGTTAGTTTCCTGTTCTATGGATTCAAACACTTAGTTGCATTGTTATAGAGAGAGAGAGAGAGAGAGAAAGAGAGGGAGAAAGAGAGAGAATAAACAGTGAAGAGGAGATAGTTAAGGGCTGGTTGGACATAACGTGTGTTAAAATATAAAGAGAGATAAGGAAAGATGGATAGAAAAGTCAAATTTCAAGTACTTATAATCACTTAAAGTCTATGTGACATTCATCATTGGCCTATGTCTAATTAATAAAAATATATCATTGATATATGGTTAAATAGTAAAGCTTTTATTGATTTTTTTGCCTAAATTACCTAAATTTTAACTTAATTACAATCGGATTATTATTATTATTATTTTAACAAATGATATTATCTACATTAAAGGGGCAAGGTAGACTTAGCCTCACAATGAGCTTGTGGTTCAAATTCGCCTTTGGCGAGAATCGAACCTAAGACCTCTCACTTACAAGTGAAGAGAAATACCACTAGACTGTAATACTAAATGGTCAATGAGATCATTTTAACCTAGAAGAAAAGTCAATACCCGAAAGTTACCCATCTCTTCTTTGTTCACCCTTATCCTATGGCACATCCACTACCTTTCTCCAGTCCCCGCCATCTCCCCAAACATTCCATTAACCACAAATCACCACAGCGAAAAATCCCATCTCTCTCCCTCCGCAAAATTGTTAACTCCACCCACAATATAACTTTTTAATATACAAGTTTGGCTTTTAAGCCAAAATGGTCTTATAAATTGTCATAATTCCTTACCTTGGTCATTGAAATTTAAAATCGATAGAAGTGGTCATGAGATTGTCCACCATCAATCAATTGGCCATTATGTCAAAAATCCTCATTAAATTGAAGAGACCACCAATTCAAAGGGAGATGTTGATTTAACAAAAATATTCTCAAGTTAATAAAGATTTCTCACGGAATGACCAAAATGATTTACGGTGGACAATCGCAAAGATCACACTTCTATTTATTTTAAATATCAGAGACCAAAATGCAAAATTATGTCAATTTCACAGACCATTTTGAATAAAAACATATAAGTTTTTATCGTTTATTTTCAATTTGAAATAGATTTTTTGAAAAAATAAAAAAATATATTTGGGAGGATTTGTTCATATGTACTTTGTCATTGTACTGTCACTCCACTCCACGCCCTTAAAATTTGAATGCCTCACTAGTCCCCTCCCCTCCACGATAATCTAAGGAACTATTCTTTGTTCAACATAAGCTATTGTTTTAATTATGTTTTAAGCCAAAACATAATTACTTAAGAAAATGGAATGGCCTAAAACAAAAAAGAACAAGAAATAAAATCACGGCACCACGTCCTTGTAGAGTAATTATATGAGTTAGGTCACCTTTATTTATTATTTTTTCGGAGTGCAATTTGTAGATTTAATAGAGCATGTTCTATTGCTTATCATAATATAGCACTATTGGGTAGCCACGCTTACGTTTGATTGGAATTGTACCATGCTTTTGCAACACTTGCCACTTGCGGTCCCATTTGCCTCAAGAAAATTGTGATACGCTTGGAAAATATTACGTGATATATTATTTTATGTGTTGTATTATAAATGGATAACATGACTAACGAATTATAAATTGTAACTTTGACTAATTTTTTTTTTTTCTTTGTTCTG